AATGTATTTTGAGACTAAATAAGAATATAACCAGGCTTCCCACCTGTCGGTGAGCTCTGTTTGTTTAACCTAATTACTGTGCTGATAGAAAACCTCAGGCTGAGGTAAAGAGTCGAAGCTGCTCGATTGGATGCAACGTCACGAAAAGCATCATGGACAGATTCTCCTGACGTCTTTAAGCCTCCAGATCAATCAGAAACACATTCAACCGCTGTTTTTTTTTTCTTTCATCCTTTCTGCTCTGACTCTTTAGCCGTATTTCTTAATTTTTCCATCTCACCCTGCATTTGTTACATAATTTAATTACAGCTTTGTGTCATTTCTATCAATTTCTCATTTCTTCTGTTAGTGTTCTTAGTGCCGTCCCCTCATGTAGAGACAATTTCTGCATGTGCTTTTCTATTGCAGAGCAACTCTGAAGTCACCTTCATACAGGGTTAACAAGAAGGGCTATAAGATGGAATAATAAAATATTTGATAATAAATTCAAGCAGTAGTGGGAATGTACATTTAAAACACTGAAATTCTTTCTTAGTTGTAGATGGATGGGACAGATGGTGCCATTCCACTGTTCTTCTTATGACACAGATTCTCTTTACCTCACTCTAGAATTTAATTATCTCCAATAATTACAAGGCTCCACCTTGGTGCCGTCACTCATCTTGACAAGAGCCTCACAATAGCAGTTCTGGCTTATTTTAAGTCTGTACCCAGAAACAAGGTTGAAATGTTTCCTCTCCCTCCGTGACGACTCGCTGTCCTGTCACCTCAGCAGACGTTTCAGTCAGCGAGGTGGAGCCAAACGTCTGGACTCTGGCAGTTCTTATATAAGAACTCGACAAGATTGAAAAATGGACAACCCCATGATGAAACAGGGGCCAATCTGCGCAGCAGGCAGCAGCTTCGACGTGTCATTGATGCTGGTATCAAAGAAGTGATACATGACACACAGCACAAAGCCAGAGGCGAGGTTCTGATGTAGAACTCCGACCAGAATCAGAGCTGCAGCTGATTGACAAGCTCACATCAGAGAGGAAAATTCAACCGTCTTTTCCAAAATACCAGCGCAGCACAGAGCAGAATTAAGAAAAAAAACTCAAAATGACTAGGATGAGGAAGGTTTTATCATCTTATTCTGGGTTGGATGAAATGTGGCTCCATCAATAAACTGTCCAATTTAAACTGCTTATCAGCAAGCTGACAGGCATATTGACTGAGAGCCAAAGTTCCTTCAGAGTACCAATCTTTTAGTGTTTATCTGTAAATGCTCCAATGGTGCAGTCACTTATGAACGTCACTGAATTAGGATATCATTTGAAAAGGTGATTTATTTAGGTCATTTAATTCATAAACTCACAAATAGCTTCTTCACACACAGAGTGGTCTACTTCTGCTGTGTATGTCTGTTTGATTCTTAAAGTAGATCAAAGTTCAAATGCTGATTCAGAACAATTCTAAAAATATTAATACACAAATATTCTGTTTATTTTATGACCCACACAATGATGCATCAGGAGCTGCTGCATCCCAGTATAATCATAGAGTGTCTAGTGAAAGTAAAAAGTTTGGTGAAAAAGGGTAAGCAGAAAATAACATCTTTAATGAGAAGCAGAGCTTGAACATTTATGAAATCTTGATCATTATGACTGAGAAATTTGCTGAAATAATAAGACACTGGGGGTCATTCAAACAAGCTGTTAAGTCCAACCATAAATATGATCATTTTGTTTTTTATATAGACAGACATCCATGTGAATGCTTTGACCTGAGATTGTGGATTAATAACAATCAAGGGTTGTAGACATCATGTTCGTATGAGACGATAAATACACAGTTCATGTAGAGGGCATTACCTTATTATTATAAATAATAAATATGCTGAAATGTTTCCTTCAACTAAAGATTGTTTCTGATAGAAAGGCCAGATGGGCAACTCTCAAAATATAATGAAGCAAAGTAAAAAGAGCATAAATACTAGGAAAATATTGGATATTTTTAATGAAACCTTTTTAGAAATTACATTTTAAAAGCATTTCTACTGTTTGCCAGTGTTTCACAATGCCAAAAGTACCAATTATGGCTCGAGTAACCAGGTTATCACTGGGTCATTGTCAAAAGGAAGACGAGACGCCACAGCTGATGATGCTACTGAGTTGAAGGTCATTATTAAACCAATAGAAGCTTCATTAGGGCCTCAGCAGAACCGAGGCTTGTTGCTCCATGTCACACCGCAGTGATGCACAAAGAGACGCAACCAAGTTATCCGCGCAGACTGTACAGGATATGGACGTACAAAAAAACATTTCTGTTGGTCTGATGTAACATTCTACTTTTAAGATTTTCATCAACAATCATCAAAATTAGGCTTAAATATATCTATTCCATGCTCTAAATGTTTGAGTTTGTTTTTTTCAATTAAATGAATGAAATAAAAAAGCAACTTTTTGAGAATATTCTAATTACAGCCGCAGCTGTAAGTTTGAGACAGCAGATGGTTGCTGTTCTTCTTGCAGAGATGAGACAGCCTGTTGGAAATGTACTTCCACACACCTGAATGACTCGGATTAATCAAAGTGAAATCCTCCTATTTGAAGGAACTATTTGCCCATACTTTATATCAACATGTAGGGAAACCAGGCTGTGCGGAGGCCACTTGTTATATACTATATGTTCTGCATCAAATATGAAAAGATTATTGAGGATACAGAGATGTGTGCATGAATAAAAAGCAATCCTCTCACCTCTCGTGGCTCAAACTCATGAATTTAGAGTTCCTGAACTAAAGTTCAGGAATTTAGAGTTCCTGAACTAAAGTTCAGGAACTTTAGTTCAGGAACTAAACTAAAGTTCAGGAACTCTAAATATATGAGTTTAAGAGAACATTATTCGTATATTTGTGTCATCACATTTGCATTACTGAAATGCTTTTTTTACCAGTCTGGACAGATAATCAGTTTCAGCTGATTATCTGAAACCTTCAGCTTTCAGAAATTATTTCATGGCAAGAATTTCAAATTGTCGTCCGGTTTTCAAACCCTGACACACCCCACACACATTAATTAAAAACCCCAGACAGGTTTTTGTCATACAATATGATGTCCAGTCGCACGGCAGACAGCACAACACAGACAAACAGATTTCACACTCATACATTCACATATCAGACGCCAAATTTCACAGAACTCGATATGAGTTCAGCGTAAGCAAACATGGCTGACTGTTGACTCAGATGGCGTTAGTTGGTGAAATAGTTTTTTAACAGAGAAAAAAGACCGTTGTCTCTGTCCACTGGACTTTCCGGTGCGCTGTGGCATTTGTTTTGTCTTTATTTTGGATTCCTCTCCGTGTTTCCGTCAAGTTCAGTAGGTCGTGTTCTTGTTTGTCCTCGGAGGAAACCACACCCTGTGAAATCGAGTCAAGATAATCCAACATGTGTAATATCCACCATTTTAAATCAAAGAGATCCAAAAGTCCATTACAAGCAGACCAGATCTCTCTTAACACGCCACACCCTTCAGAAATCTCTCTAAGATTATTTTAAGAGCCATCCCGATAATCAGGGCATTCTTAAGATTGTCAGAAAACGGCATGAAGGTCTTGCTGTGTGAACCAGGCACATGGGCTTTTCACTCTGTGGGTCGTAATGGTGGAATAGTTTGCCCTGCAGCTTTACTTTTCTGACTGGAGGATTTCTAAGGACCAGCTGAGAACTGTTTTGTTTTCTCAGGCCTTTATGTCATGATTTTATTATCTTTGTTATGCTTCTTTTTTCACTATGTCCATGTTGGTTGTAATTTTTGTTGTACAGCGCTTTTTGATTTTGTTTCAATAAAATGTGCTTTATAAGTTAACTTTACCAACTTACTAGAGAGTCACTTTTTGATAAAAATCTTCTTTGTTCAACTGTAACACTTCCAGAAGGTCACTTCTAGAGGAGCAGGTCATGTTTGCACAAAGAAACCCAAACTGGACTGGCAGAAATAACAGCAGCATTTTTTCCTTTTTGTCTGGAGTGTTCCTGTGTTCCCTTGAAGGTCAGCCTGTTGAAGACTGTTTGCTGCTGGCAGACAGCTGAACTTGATGTGAGAAAGCGACCATTTATTTTTGTCCCTGGGAGCAAAGCGGTGTTATTTGATCATTGCACTTCACTTTTAAACAATTTTTTTGTTTTAAAATATGTTTCATTTGTCTTAACAGATTTTTTTTATTGCAAATTCATATTGTTTAGAGGCCCTTTGAGATCTCAAGATTTAAAGAGCATGGTAAATAAAATTTATTACTTAATTTATTAGCATAAGAATAGTAGGAGGAATACCAATAATGATCTCATTCAAAATTTTCCCTCCACTCTGAGATTACTGCAGAGAAAATAAATAAATTGTTGGTCTGTTTTTTTTTTTTTAAACACTGTTAAATAAAAGAGGAGTCACTGTGAATATTTGGTGGTACAATGTGGTATTTTTTTGTTATTGCGATATGGCATCCAATTTCCAATTTTATTTTCTGTTGTAATAATTATATTGAAACTTTGTTGGTGCATTGGTGATATTTTACAACTTTTATGCCCTAAAATGATTGTAAAAGTTTAATATTCACTATATTCATTAATTGGTTTTGTAAGTTGGTTGTAAAGTTTAACTTGGATATTTCTTGTGCCCTTTTATCAAGCATTATCAGTTTGCTTTATTGTTTTTTGTGATAATAATACATTAGTTTAGTATTAGTCAAAATCATGCAATATTTCTTGATTTGTTCTTTGCTAATGTAAAGTAGAGAAAGAATAAATACATAAAACTGATAACCTTTTCCTCTTTCTCCCCATCTTGTCCTTCTTTTCTCCTTTCTTGACTCTTTTACACAAACTTTTTTTTTTTTTTTTTTTTTTTTGACTTTTTCCTTCTGTGCCTTTTTTTGGGGATTTTGGACCATCTGGGTTCTTATCACCACGGTTTCCCTTCCCCTCTTTTCTCCCACCTTCTTCCCATTTTCTGCGACACCAGCCAAGCCCAAGAACTCGGCCAAAGCCGTGACGGTCCAGGCTGGCAGCAAGTCGGTGATGGTGGCCCACTGCGAGGCGGCGGACGGGAAACCGGCCGCCACCATCAAGTGGCTGGCGTCGGTCGGCGGCAACCACTCAACCACCTCCACGAACGGGCCGGACGGCACAGTGACGGTTCGGAGCGAGTACAGGCTGGTCCCGACGGCGGAGGACAACGGGAGAGAGGTGACCTGTCTGGTGGACCAGAAGACCCAGGACCGGCCGTGGACTGAGGTTCTGAAGCTCTCAGTGGAGTGTAAGTCACATAAAACAAACACTCATGTTGTGACTCACACAGAGTCTCAGAGGCAGGAAACACACACAGATCAGTGCTGCAACTGACGAGGAGTTATTGCATCACATTTCAATTAGAAATGCACCAATCAACTTTTTCACTTCCGATCTCATATCTTTTAAGTTGTAAAAACTTGACAGATTGTTCAGTTATTTTTTTTAAATCAAACATTCACAGTGAATCACATTGACATTCAAACTGCCCATCAGACTGTCGGTAGCAATGACAGAACTCGCATAAACAAAACCATATGCAAGTTATGTCTTCATGCAGCAGCATAGGAAGGAAATGCTTCCCACTAAACGTCCTGCTCATCTTTAGATGGATGTTAGAGGCCGATTCAGCATAAATATGAGAGAGACGTGTGATAAACATGAGCTGCATAAATACATAGGAAACAGAATGCAACCATGCATATATAAAGAATGCATGGTTGCAAAAACGTGAAGGCCAGAATGTCCCAAAGCTCAGACTGATTTTAAATTTAACACATTTTCTCCTCACTTGATTTTTGGAGGAAAGGTCAACATTCCTCAATTGTTCCTATTGAGATTTTTATGAGCTATGATTAGAAAGTTCTGCTGTCTGGAGCTGTGATGCAACATGTGGACACATCATGAACTTATGTCTTATTTTCCTTCATTTCTTCTGCCACAAACCATGTGTTGTTTCAAATAAAATGACCCAACAGTGGAATGCAAAAGTATTTGCACCTCTGGACCTTTCCAGAATTTTACTAAGTCACAAACCTTAAAGTACTTCATCTGGATTTTATGTCACACACTAAGACAAAGAACCACACAATGTTTTTTTATTTTTAAATAAAAACTGTAAAAGTCTGGCATGCATTTGTACTCAGATCTACAGACTTATTTTTGACTGCTCAATTATATTAAATGGATATAATGGATATGTTTATGTTTAAGTTTCGTGACAAACCGTCAGATGGATTTAGGTCTGAACCTCACCAACAGATGGAAATGCTTTGCTCTAAAGTGTATATATTTCTGCTGCAAGTACCTCCACAGCATGATGCTACCACCACCATGTTTTACCATGGGGATGGTGTGTTCATCTATGTTTGCGGCTTTCTTACCTGGCAAACTGAAAAACGTCCTTTTGTTTGTTTCAAAACTTCCTTTCTTCTTTCAAGTCTTCAGTTAGGTCAGAGAGTTACCCTGAAATCCTCCCACCTGAGCCGTTGACCTTTGCAGCTCCACCAGAAACTTCTCCCTGATAAAACAAAAACCTTAAAACACCAGGAGCATAATGTGATGGTAACTAGTAAGGTTAGGGAAATGTTAGTTAAAGGGACCAGAGGAAAAAGTTTGCTCTGAAACACGTTCCAAAACATTTCACTAATACACAACTTAATTTATTTGATTCTGTTGATAAAATAAATGAGCTGTTGTGGCCAACAGTTCAGCCACACAACCATCACAAAAACTGCACCAACATTTAATAAGTTAAACTGCATCTGTCTGTGAAACAATTAACAGGACCTCACTGTGAAAGTGATCAAAAATGATCCATTTATTTATTGTAATAAAGCACAACTTTCACTTCCAGACCCTCCCACCGTCACCATCGACGGTTACGACAACAACTGGTACGTTGGTCGCTCTGACGCGGTTCTGTTCTGCCATGCCACGGCCAACCCTGAGCCCACCACCATCACCTGGACGACGTAAGCAGCACACACTCCACATCTTTACAGCACAGATTAACCTGTAAAGTTTAGCAGATGGACAAATGACTGTGTCCTCGTATTAATCTCGTTTTAACTTCCTGTTTGGTTGTTTCCAGGGCTTCGGGTTCGCTGCCGGACACGGTGGTGGTGGAGCAAAACAAGCTAACGGTGAGGAAGGTGGACGACGCCGTCAACACCACCTTCACCTGCGAGGTCAAGAACAAGCACGGCGCCAGCAGGAAAACGCTCACAACGTTCGTCATCGGTGAGTCTGAACAAAACCACCCAAACACACAAAGACGCCATAAACCCCAAACCCCACATCTGCGGTTTCTGCAGCGCAACTTGATGCAGAAAAACGTTTGAATGCTCAACATGTCATCAACCCTCCCCCACCACTCACACACACCTGCACACATGCATGCAGATTTCATTTTTGGAAACTCACATGCTGGGATCAGAGCTGATCTGACCGCTGTGGGGGTCTGATCTGTTTGCTGCTCGCTGTCAGCCGGGGCCGGCGGAGGCTTTTCATTGGCTATTTCCCCACAGCAGGGCCAAATTGCTCGATTAGGGCCAATACTTGTAACTTTTAAAGTGAAATCTATGTGCTGAAGTTTAGTCTGCGCAGGCAGAACTCAGCTGGAGGTGATTAACTGTGAAGGAGGCCGTTATCGCACTGCCTTGGCCCTGCGGGGGACGCTCCGGTGTTGGGATTGTTTCGGGATTTCTACATTTTTCCAAAGGGTTCAAGTTGGTGTGAGCCAGTTTGCAGAGGTTTGCTTTTCTTTCTTATGCTTTTCCCACCCTCCCTCCTTCTATACAGCAACAAATACATTTACTAACATTTTCCTAAAGTTCTTCGTCTCCTCTTTCCTTTCCTGTTTCATGACGTTTCTGGAAATAGGGTTGGTTTTCCTCTTGGGGTTTGACAGTTGCTGTCTTGGTCAGGACTTTCTTTCACAAATTGATCAAAAAACACGTCCACAGACTGAAACTCTCCATGATGAAGGTGTCAGAAGTTGTTGATTTCTCCTTGATTTGTTTTCAATGTTGCCCTCAACAGCTTCTCTATTGGTGAAAATCCTTTTCTTTGTCAGAGGAATTAGATGGATTATCACTATATTGAGCTTCACAACAAGACATGATTAAAACTAACATATTCTCTTTAACCAAATGACAGCGAGGAAGCTACATTTAGAAAATTCGTGGGAAATCTGAGCCGCAGATTCGAATTGTTCTTTTGCAGAAAACAAAGCTCCCTTTCAGCCGGGCGGTGCACTGGGTGTGTGGGCGGTTCGGAAGTGCTTAGCCGCTCCTGTTCTCGCTGGAAGCACAGCATTGTGACCGACTCAGAGTATCACCAAGTCAATGCTTTCCTCTTCCAGCACATCTCAACAAAATCCCTTTCAGACACATGTAAAACCCCCGCTCAGTCCATACACAGGCTCACCCAACACTTTTAGGGCCTTGCAGAAACAGTTTTCATCTTTTTGTATCTGAGATCAAGGCCAAGCTTTGTGATTCATCCTCCTCTGTGCTGAATGTGTCGTCTGTGTTTCATGGCTTCTGTTACAGTAAGTAGATGTTATAAAGTGAACTCTGTTAAAGAAGGTGAGTACCAGAGGCGGTGGGCTGACCCAACGCTTTGTGTGTGAGTGAAGATGATAAAAGGAACCGTTGGAGTAAGAATAACTTGATTTGTGCTGAAGTCAACGCTGTGGCATGTTTCTGTACACATGCGCTTCTGAAAAGATTTTTTTCTGCACACTAACCAGTAAACTGCCTTTCTGTGCTAAGATTATGCATTGACATCAGACATTGTAGACGTGTATAAAAGATTAGTTTATCCTCCATGTTTGGATGTAATGCACAACTGACTGACGGCTCACTTCACGTTTGGGGACAACTCTTCACTGTCATCTTATTTTAATAGCTTAAACAGGAAGTGAAATTTGGTCCCACTTTGCAAAAACAACTAGCATTATTTAATAACTACTGAATAATTAATAAACCTGTTATTAATCAAGCTCTCACATCCTTCCAGACAACTGCACAGTAGCTTTTAATTGCATGTAATGATATGAAATAATGAATCACAGCAGCTCATTAAAGTAGCTTAGAGGCTGTGAAGACCTTTGATTGCTTCTGAGTAAGATGAGCGAACATTAAATGTTTATTTAGCAGCTGAAAGATGCACAAAACTTGTAGATATTGTGTTCATGTACAAGTAAACAGACCTGGTTAGTTTTATGGCACCAATCATGGCTCTGAATTTTCCTGTTTTATTCAGTCTGTGAATGCATCAACGATGAGAATCAGATTGAAGGTTAGGAATTTATTTGGTGCATAAATGTTTATTGTTGTTCGCTCTTTATGTTCTGTTGGATTTTCTGGTTTCGTGGTTTTGCTTTTGAATTGATCCTGGTATCCAGATTTGAATAATCTCCCAGTACTGATATTTTCTGACCCAAGATGCATTCACTTAAGCTTTTAATTTTGTTTAGTTTATTTTTTTCCTGGTTTTGTATATTTTCACTTAAAAAAACCCATCACCAATAATAGCTCTCTTGCTACATGTGATGCCAATTTATTGAGGTGTTATTATATTTACTCGATCGATCAGAATGTAATTTGTTTAAATAATCATCCAGAAACTTGTTTCTGGTTCCTGCTGCATCGTTAACGTTCCTTGTTTCTGGGTGTTCTGGTGGATTTCAGCTGCAGTGATGATTTGTATGGCTATTGTGGGCCGTCCCACCATTCTGATTCATATTCATCATTTTTTTGGATTGGCTCAGAAGAAGTCCCAGCACTCCAGATGGCCAGTCTGCCACTGGTAGTGAGTCACAGTGAGAACACATCATTTGTTTCACCTTTCCAAAGGATCAGCAGCATAAGGCTGAGTGACTCATTCAGACCCGCCAACAGTTCAGCCACTAAATGCATAAAGGAAGCATCTTCAGTCCTCCATGGCAGCTTTCTTGGACACAGCTTCTATTTATTTCCTTCTATGCTCAGTTAAACACCACAGAGAAACGCTGGAGCAATGAAGCAGCACTCTGGTATTTTCTCTATTTGATATGTATTTTGTTGACATAACAAACAATCACAAGATTTTTTGTCTTGACAACCATCAAAGTATCACAAGATTCATCTGCTTGCTTCGTATAATCACAACATCCTCTTTATATCTGATGTGATGCATTCAGATGCAGAACATTCGGTTTTACTGTCAATTTTCTCTAGAAGCAGAAAAATGAATAGTCGTGTATTTGGAATATATGGTTTTTCATGTTTTTTATGGAAAAATGACTCACCTGGTGATGGAAAGGAAGAAAATAACAGTTGCGGATGCACTGGCTGTTGAGGTTCCTGTTCTGAAAACTGAAAGAGGCAAATAATAACCTTTCCAATCCATCTCGGTACAATAACAACTAATTCTGATTTGCCCCAACCAAATTTATTTCTATACGTTCAAGTTCTGTTCAAATTATATTGAATTGAGCAGAGGTGTCCAACCCACAGTTTGGGATTCCTTTTACGGCCCTAATAGTCATTAGTGTGCAGGAAGTTGATGTAGTTGATCTACTTTTTAATAAAAATTGGCGTAAAATTTTCACTCGCAACTAAAAAACTGCCTAAATTGGAGAGCACAAATGCATTTTCTCTCAGGTTCTTCAGATTATGAAAGACTTTTACTCTAAAGCTGACTTGGCTAAATAAAGCAAGACATTTTAACGGTAAATCTGCAACGTAATTGATCCATTTTTTGTAGAATTTACACAGTTTGTGCACCTAGTTCCTTGCCAGACAGGTAAAAATATATTTATGTAAAAATGTTAAAAATATAATTTTTGTGACCCACAACTACCTTTTGATCCCACAAGTGAACAGTTTGGACACTCCTGATGTTGAGTCAGATTTGGTAAATCAGTGATTGCAAAAAGAAAGAAGAAAGTTAAAGGACTGAAAAAGGAATAGGATTAGATCAAAGTCTCATATGGAATAAAACTCTCATCCCGAATAACCCAAAATGTCCTGTACACCCTGAGGATGCAGCGATGACCTGTTGCTATCAGACTGCTGGGCCGAATTCATCCGAGTTTTATTCAATCCCAAACAGCTTTCACTGGGATTACGCTTTACGGTCGCAGTTAGACCCTCTTTGCAGGAATCGTCCCAAATCTCCTTTTCTCTTCGTCTTCTGTGTCTGAACTTTCCAAAGACTCTCCCTTTTTTCCAACTAAATGGAAACCAGAAGCTCTTTGTTAGCCATCTTCATGTCAATTAGTAAGACAAACTAATTCAGATGATTCTGTTCCTATCAGAAGAGTGTACTGACCCTTATTAAAACTGAAAGGACACGACTTAAGCCAGATGGATTGTAGATATCATTAAGGGTCTGAGAATGAAATCATAAGTGTATCCTATCTTATTTCTGGCACTGAGTGACCACTAGCAGAAATTGTTGAACCTTTTTACCTCACATACTTTCTGCTGCTTCAACTTCTGAGACACAACGTTGTTTTTAGAATGGCGCTTTTTCTGAGGTCAGGCACCATGAATGTATCGAGCCAATTACCTCAACAGAAGACACGCTTCGGATGAGGGAGAAAATCATTACCATTGACCCTTGGACAAACACACTCGGCTGCTTTAAAGGTCAGAGTGGTTATCTGCTGCCGTTGAAGCCGCAAATGAGTAAAATGTGGCTTTAGCGCGCCTAAAAGCTGCTGAATGCCGGAACAGGAAGTGACTTTATGTGGGTTTTTGTTTTGGAGCTGGCATCCTGAAAAGCGCTTTAAACTATTCCTTAGACTGATGCATCTTTTCAGCACAAGATAATCAAAGTTGTTTATTAAATCACTGAACTAAAATGTTTTAAAAAGTTTAGATAAAAATATGCTTTTAGAAAGACTGTTCTCCAAATCTCAAAAACATTATCAAAGCTTGTATTTAGCCAATGACAGCACAGGATAAAGCACTTTGCTAGTGTAAAGTCAGTTTTTCTACATTATTTTCTTGAACAGCTAAGGGAGGAAATTGATCTGATCTTTTCACACCATACAGCTACACCATGGTCACACTTTTAACAAATATATAAAAACATTAAAAAAAAAAAAAAAGTCCATCTGTAGTAAACGCTGCTACGATCCGTTAGCGGTTCCTCTCTGTTCTGTTACCTGCTCGATGGACTCCTCGCGTCGTCTGCCATTTCTGCTGCCGTCAAGGAGCCATCACAAGTCACAACTCCACACTCAC